TTGCTCATAACCGGTTGTAGATATTAGTAGTTCAGTTTCCTCTGGATCTCAATTTTATATGTCTTGCTCATAACCGTTTGTAGATATTAGTAGTTCAGTTTCCTCTGGATCTCAATTTTATATGTCTTGCTCATAACCGTTTGTAGATATAAGTAGTTCAGTTTCCTCAGGATCTCAATTTTATATGTTTTGCTCATAACCGGTTGTAGATATTAGTAGTTCAGTTTCCTCAGGATTTCAATTTTATATGTCTTGCTCATAACCGGTTGTAGATATAAGTAGTTCAGTTTCCTCAGGATCTCAATTTTATATGTCTTGCTCATAACCGGTTGTAGATATTAGTAGTTCAGTTTCCTCAGGATCTCAATTTTATATGTCTTGCTCATAACCGTTTGTAGAGTAGTTCAGTTTCCTCTGGATCTCAATTTTATATGTCTTGCTCATAACCGTTTGTAGATATAAGTAGTTCAGTTTCCTCAGGATCTCAATTTTATATGTCTTGCTCATAACCGATTGTAGATATTAGTAGTTCAGTTTCCTCAGGATCTCAATTTTATATGTCTTGCTCATAACCGGTTGTAGATATAAGTAGTTCAGTTTCCTCAGGATCTCAATTTTATATGTCTTGCTCATAACCGTTTGTAGATATTAGTAGTTCAGTTTCCTCTGGATCTCAATTTTATATGTCTTGCTCATAACCGGTTGTAGATATAAGTAGTTCAGTTTCCTCAGGATCTCAATTTTATATGTCTTGCTCATAACCGGTTGTAGATATGAGTGGTTCAGTTTCCTCAGGATCTCAATTTTATACGTCTAGCTCATAACCGTTTGTAGATATAAGTAGTTCAGTTTCCTCAGGATCTCAATTTTATATGTCTTGCTCATAACCGGTTGTAGATATTAGAAGGTCAGTTCAATTTTATATTTTATTTATTTAATTCTAGATCAAAATCCACAGCATTTTCTTAATATAATACAGGTATTACAATATAGTTTATCTTAATGCCAATTACGGATTTTCATTTTTTAGTTATAGCATAATAGTTTAGAAAACCCTCTACCAAACAAGGGCGAGATGTGTGCAATGCCCGCGCGCTATTGTATATGTGTGTGTGTGTTTGTGTGTATATTGTATACATGTGTAAGTGTTTCATTCTTGTTTGTATATATGTATACATGTGTAAGTGTTTCATTCTTGTTTGTATATTACCAATCAACCAACAGACCTACAAGTTGTTTTTTAAAAGATGCTTTACTTTTGCAAGTAAATATGACAACAGCCGTGAAATTTTTATTTTATGTACTTTGCGATCTATATACGTCTTGCTCATAACCGGTTGTAGATATTAGTAGTTCAGTTTCTTCAGAATCTCAATTTTTTGTCTTGCTCATAATCGTTTATAGATATTACGCACAGCACAATCCAATTACTTCGCGTCTTTATTAACTTGGATCAAAACGATTGTACCACTCGAGCACAAGTTGCATAATTCAATACCCCAGTAAAAGTATAAACTCCATGTCGTTCGAGATCACCGCACATTCACATTATATCCACATGAACGGAAACTTGAAAAATCGGAAAAAAAAACAGTAGACGTATGGAAAGAGCTGGAAGAAAAAGCAGAAGCAGATGTGTATTTTTTAAATCTTCTTGGGCGGGTGCCCCCTAGAATTGGTAAATCAAATATAGTTCAGTAACAAATGCGTTTCCATGACTACTTCAGCCCCTTAAAAGCTAGTTTTTTTAAACAAGAAACGTCTTTATTGTATTATATCTAAGATACAGTTTAATAGTAGAACGGGAGAGCACACCACAGGTGACTCAAAGGACATTTTACGTAACGTTTCACACAATTTAAAAAATAAACCCCTATTCTAAATAAAACAGTGCATTCATGTAGAGAAACAGAAGAACAGGAGATCTCAAACTCAAAACTGAAACTCATTTATTCAGTCCAGGCTGTTACAAGCTTTTGTGCTCAAACGCTACGCCATCGGTTCGTAAATCTACGGCGGGAGACCTTGTACTGAGAAGAACCGGCAAGAAACTCAGCAAGCGCTATTTTTTTCTCCCTGTTTTGTATTAAACAGTGTCGTCAATTGAAAGATGACATCAAAAATTGAATACATGTGTTGATGTCTACTTCCATCACATTAATATTATTAATTAACAAAAGTTAAGTATAGCTAGGTATTACTTTTAAATTTAGAAGTGGCGATTAAACAATTTTCAACCAAATCAGCAAAGTAAAACGACTTAGTCTATTATATTAAGCCCAAGGTGACTTATCATTTATGAAATATTTGACAGTATAGTAACCTTTCTTAAGGAGACAGGAGACATCTCCCGTAAAATCGGGAGTCCTGGCAACCCTGAATCTGTGCCACTTAGAGTCCCGGCTTTGCTCGTTGCGCTCATTTATATTCGAGGGCCTTTATGGTTTCGCCGAGAGTAAATACAGTATATTATGCAGTTGTCAAGCGGCTTCCGAGTTTCGGCTGCTGCGAGTGTCTCCATTTGTGGCTGTACTGTACATGCCGGTTGCGTCACCGATTTCCACGAAATTTTCTTCGAACAAACTGGTCTCGTTTGCTTTAATATAACCAGTCTACAACACTGCGTTAATCGTCGCGAAAAAATGAAATATTCCTCAATTCTGAGTAATGAAGAATAGGGGTGATGACGGGGTATAGTAAACGAAATTCTATTTAGTTCGTCAGTTAGATGATCAAAAAATAATGGACACGTATTTTTTCTTTGGGCGATCAACCAAAAAATGACAAATTTTCTAGTTATTTTTCTAGTTATATTTTCTTTAAGTTATAGCGCGTCAAAGTTTGGGAGTAGGGGCTCGTGACGTCAGTTTTTAGTGTATTTTCACTTAAAAGTGTACTGAAAAGTGACGTCATGCGACTTTTCAAATGAATATATCTCTGCAATGTTTATATTATGTGAAAAAAGAAAACATACGCGTCCAACACGTTTTGATAACCTACCTGATAAACGAAGAAAAAAAAATTAGTCATCATCCCTATTAATTACAAAGATGCGTCTACCTAAATAAGATACAATTCAGTTTCGGTTGTTAAACAAGTTCAATAAAATCACAAGTTTAATTATGAAATATATATATTATATATATACTAGCTGACCCAGCGTACTTCGTATTGCTTACATTAATTTGGAAGAAATGATAAACGACGAACGTCAAGTGTTTGACAGGAATATACACATAGCCATCTGTCGGATCCAATGTAAAACATTCCAAAATCAACAACTACTAATAAATTAAAAATTAATTAAAAAAACATTGTCCAGCGGACAAAATTGTGAATCTAAACCATTCTCAGATCCCCTTGAACACACACAAAAAATTTCATCAAAATCGGTCCAGTCGTTTAAGAGAAGTTCAGTGACATACACACTCACAGAAGAATTATATATATAAAGATATATATATAACGATAAAGATCTGCTAAACTCTTGATTTTGCCCAGTCTCTACAGATAAACGTCATGAAAATGTATTCATTGTTAATCGCCAAGTGTGGTTTCCCCGGAGCGGCTAACTTTCTCGCGCATACATCCAGTCCAGTCAGGATGTGATAGGCCGTTGTAAATCTGCCAGCTTGGTTTCACCGTTTTCAGGAAGTGTTCAACAGTTCCCGTATTTGTATTTACGATTACGAACACTTATAATCTTAAATAAAACTAGTTTTTACGGGTTAATGCACGAAACTTTATTTATTTATTGACGTTTCGTAGCCTTTACAGGCTTCGTCGTCAGAATAAAACTTATTTAATTTGTCGAGCTACCTTCGAAAGACTTTTATTGAGCGTTTGGTTATTTCATTGTTCGATTTTTAAGTTTTATTGTCTATGTATGAATTTATTATTTAATTTACTTAATAAAGTATTTTATTTCAAATTCTTTTTTGTAATTTTGAGTTTATTTATTTGACCCTAACTACCGTAAACTACCACCGGTTCCAAAATTGGGAGACCTTTCTGAGAAGAACCGGCGAAACAAACTCAAGAGAGGCTTTCTATCTCCTTCTACTTATAATCTTCTTTTTTGGGTCAATTTGTACTAAAATATTGGTTTAAAATTGGAACAAAATATTAATCATTCCTAATTTACTCTCATGTTCTTGTTTGCTGAACGTAGGATGATATTTCTAATTGCATGCGTCTGACACACAGACAGTAATCCATTTTTGCTAAAGGGAGGGTTGCTTTTTGAAGTGAAAGCTGCTTTAGTATCGTTCGATGAAACGGAAGTAGAGTATTTGACACAAATAGGTATCCGTAATTTTATCATTTACTATTAGAGACAGATAGCCGAACCGCGAACGGTAGCGGTGTTGGGGTCGACACCAAACGATCGGTGGTTCGATCCTGAACTCGGTTATTTTTTCTGTTGTTGTAGCCGGTGTTGCGTGTCGGCTGTTGGTTGTTCTCTCAGGCTGGCGACGGGCTGCTGCCTTTCGTCTCGTTTGAGGACAATTACCAGCTTATAGCTGAGCCCTAATTTGCTTGAAACATACACAAACAACATTTTGGTATACCTGAATAAAAGGGTGTCTGTTTCATCGAACTAACGTTTATGTGAAATGTACATAAATCACAATTGCGTCCGAGACTTCCGAGAGCCATAGAGTTACAGCGACGACCTTGATATTTTACTGTAAATATTAAAGTTTAGTCTCGAACGCCTCTACAATGGCACGGATCGGAGGTAAGCCAAGAGAAATTGGACCACCGAACTCGAATTTTAGCTTTGTCATGCATCGTGAAAAGCTCTCATGAGTTCAACGGCCATAAATCGCCTTCTGATTCCATACTGTATAGGAAGTAAGGCTTTATTTATAGAATTGGTAAAGGCGCTCGTCGTCGGGCGCGCTATTCGTGCGTCGCGCGCCTCGCGCCTCGCGCCGCCGCCGCCGCCGCCCGCAGCTGCGCGGGCGCGGGCTGCGCCTCCGCGACTCCTCGCGCCTCGCGCCTCGCGCCTCGCCGGCTGCGCCAGCCAGTGCCCCCCGAGACTCCGTCACGGTCGGTGCGCGTTTCGATTCGATAATAGCGATCGCTCGCGCTCTATGCGATCCCCGTGTCATCGCGCCCCGAGATTTCCACTCGTACAGCAGTGCTAGATAACTCTGTTAGGGATTCGCCAATAGCGATCCTTTGCGCACCTACCCGATAACCTATCGAGCGTATCGCGCACACCTGAGTCGAATCGAAATTGTTCACGCTCATAGCCGAGATAACTTCTTAGAGTGAGTTTACACGGGATTTTGTTAGTCTCTGCACATTTTCCTCGCTGCGAATCTACCGTTGGAAAGTTCGTGTTAGAAGATGCGCCCCAAAGAAGAAGTGGACACGAAAATGCAAACCGGGACTTTCATACTCTCCGAGAAAATCGATGATACTAAAATGAAGAAAAACGAGAAGGAGATGAAGAAGGAAATGAAGAGGCTGGAAAAGGAAAAGCAGGAGAGGGAGAAGAGAGAGAAGAAAGCTCGCGAAAAGGAAAAGGAACGGGAGAAACTGTCCAAGAAAGGTACCACACGTTTGTTATTTACTACACCGACTTGTTAAAACTGCGGCACTTTGTTATCATGATGTCATACACTTGTTACGAGTCTGGACTTGAGAGCTGCGAACGTAGAGCAATATATTTATTTTAGTTTTAATGTTCGTTTGTGCGAATGCGAATGATGTTTATCGATGGAACGACCTTCGGCTTGTCTGCGTCACTTATCACTTCTTGATTACCTGGCGATCACATCAATATCTATACGAGTTTTAAGGTGCTGATTATAGAATTCTTCGTTTTAATCATGTTATCCTAGTTATTATATTATAGTGTGAATACATGCTGATGAATAAGCCTTGTGATCTAACCCCTGTTGGGGCACAGGCTTTCCCTATGTTGGGTGGGGCAGGGAGAACCTAGATGATAATAATAAAATATATAAAAAAAAAAGCAAATATCAATGACTAAACGCCATTGATATTTATATTGAGCAGACGGCTCACCTGATGGTTAGTGATCACCGTCGTTCATGGACACTTGCAACACCAGCCCCTCTAGCATGATCACCAAAACGGGATATGATAAAGCGATATATCGACATTAACTGTCAGACTACTGTCAAACTCCATAGTAGTCTGACAGTTAATGTCGATATATCGCTTTATCATATCCCTTTTCGGTGGTCATGCTAGAGGGGCAGGAGTATCACAAATGCGATGCCGGCCTTTAAGGAAGGAGTACGCTCTTTTTTTGAAGGTTCTTGGCTGTTACAAGCATTTGTGAATGTCAAAAAGCTTGTACTGAGAAGAACCTACAAGAAACTCAGCAAAGGCTGTTATTAGCTCCCTGTATTATTATATACAGAGTCGTCAAGTTTCTAAAATGATTTCAATATGAGATTACTCATGTACTCACCTTCCATAGCATAATTTTGAATATACAATTATTTGAACATATGGTTTGAAAAAAGAGCAGACTCAATCTCTGCTCGCAGCACCCGTTCACGAGCATGACGCATGAACCAGCCATCGCTTCGCTCAACCATATTTTATGGAACGTACCGACACCGCCAAACAGACTTAAGAAATCATGGCTACCTAAAACCACTTCTGGAAAAAAGTACATGACTGTGAACACTATAAAAATTATGCCACTGTAGGACACATGCATACATTTAATTACAAGCAGCTACTACTGTCTTCACAAAATTATTGTTCACCTATATTTTGATTAATTTTGTTATTATAATTGAAATGGTAAAGTAGTATACAGCTGATTCATCTGCGCTAGCAGCAACCGTTCACGAGCATGACGCATGAACCAGCCACCGCTTCGTTCAGCCATAATTTATTAATAGCGAATTAATCATAATAATAGCGAATGCTTTTCTAATGAATACAACAAATGCTACTCTGATTCAATGAAAAAAGGAACGCACGTTTCCGACTATTCGATGTACAAACAGATTTATTATTCGTTTCTAAATACAATAATATTCATTCGCCCAAAAATTTATTGAAGTTTAGATTCACTAAGCTGTTCCTTTCATTTGATCTTCTTTACCGAAAGTTGGTGTCGGAGAGAAAGAGTAGACCTCCTACTAAAGACCATGGCCTTCTATCAACATCATGGCATAAAGATTATTTATCTTGTTCATCGCCGTATAGAATTGTCATATAAAAACAAATAGATACCTACTTATGTTTATGATTAATAGGTTTTCAGTTCTTGTAGTTAAATTACTGTCTCTCTTCTTAGTTTTACCTTTGTTTACAATATTACCCTAATGTTTGTTGTCATGAAAATCTAGATGTCGACGACACGTCAGTGTTTCAGAACTGGTAGAAGTTACGATTTTCTTAAAATAATTTCTCACATCATACACTATCGAGGTGTGAGGTGGATCTTGGCACACGCATCACACACACATTTCGGAGAATTTGTTACATATTGCTTTTGCGAAATAAGTTATTGCTAAATGGACCGTTCTGTTGTTTAGTTGAATAGTAACACTGTTCCTTCTTCATTAATGTTTTCTTTCTTAAACAATATTTCTGCAGGCTTACAGTATTCCTATTGTTTAATAATTTTGTTATCTAGATGCAAATAATATTGGAAAGTACTTATGAAATGGCAAAATATTTAAGTACGTATTATGTTAATACCTGTGTAGAGAATGGAGGAAATTTCTTTACATGTTTGCGTGTTCGAGCACTTACCAGTACAATGCCTTCAGTCTGAATAAATATCTTATTCATGAACTGTGTGTGTACCATTTCAGTTTCGCCATTTTGTTATTGAAATGCGAGGTTTCTCTTTCAATCAATCGTATACGTTTATGAATTCTGTGATTTCATACAAACAGGGCGTCGCGCGTGACTGCCCGCCGCTGCGATTGTTGGGTTTGACCATTCCAGCGAGATTTATTTGCGACTTGTTTTACATACAAAAGTATCCGGTCGGCTTCTACCTTTAGTTCGTATCGGAATGAGTTTGAGCATTGCTCCGCGCTCGTGGTGAAATACGATCTTCAGCGTTCTCCGTCGAAGATGATCGCTACACAATTGGCACATTTAGTTGGATCAAGCTTTCTCAGCTCGGCTTGTTACGTTACCTGCGTTCAGAAGCTTGTGTTCGTCGGCGCCTCGAGTGAAGCGTCGGCGCCTCGTCGCTGGCCGGCCACTTTAATTGGCACGCTCTTTGCCTCTTTCTAGGTTAACTAGAGTTCATTGTACGCGGCCCTTTCGTTAATTTTGCTGTCGTTCTTGGAAGTTTTCGTAAGAAACATCCTGGTTACATGACAAATTATTTTTAACCCCCGACGAAAAGAGCGGGTAGATTATTATATTATTTTTGTTGACAACGATCGTACGTCGCGCCGGGTTCTATAATACATCTCGCGTCTTTAAAAATATTTTTCCTAGTCGTAAGCGTTGAGGAAGTCGTTCCCTAACTTGACTGTTGCCTTAATGTGGTTCTTGATAGCCCCGGCCCGCGGCCCCAATGTTTGAAGGGTGCAATCACCGGAATGCCGGACTAGTGCAGCGGGGCGGGGAGATTAGTTCCCAGCTGAGTGCATGCACCATTGTGTGCGAGCGTGAGATGACATTGACAGATGTCACAATATCAACCGATATTTTTGAAGTTATACTTCTTTAGGCGCGTTATGAAAAAATGATGAGAGTGAAATTTTAAGATGCGCGCGCATTACTGTAACACAACATTTTTGTGTTTACCGCACATTAAGAAAATCTACCAATAAAATAGAAATAGAATCTCTATTAAGTGGGTGCTAACGACTGCATTGTGAAGGCCTATCAAAAGTATTTATTAATCTGGAACAACGGAACCAAAGCGCGATTCAGGAGACTACAGCGCCATCTCTTGACCATTGGTGTAGTAGAATCAAAAACCACATCTTTATTTTTTGTAATAAAGTAACAGTTATAGGTATTCATATTTATAATATTTCTCCACATGTTTCTAGTTTGTATATTCGGAATACGTGTTTGAGTTTCATACAAGTGCGAATCACATATGTTCTAATAAATTATATTCAGTAGCGATTTTAATTGAATATTTTGATTATTTATTTATTTTTTCAAATTAAAACTGAACTTTATTGACTGTGTCCTTTTCCAGACTTTTTATTAATTTATTGTAATTAATTATTTACATGCAATTAAAAACTAATTTTAAACGATGCCAAAGAAGGATAACTTCTCACGCGCCTACATAAGTACACGCACCCATTTTTTTCTTGTAATGTCATAGCTAGTGTTTAGTATTATTAATTCGGCAACATAAATCGTAGTTACTACTGCCATAATATGTTGATTTGCGAACCAGTATCCAGATCGGCAGTTTATGGAATCTTTACTTTGTTAGTTTATTTGGTTATTTAAAGGTAATTATTTGGTTGATTTTTATTATTAAGTGCCTACATTTAATCACAATTAGATATAAATATTCGTCATGAAGGGCCAATTGCAACAAAATTGTTAAATAAATTTTAAATAGTCATGTTTTTTAACCTCCTTCTATGTTAATTAGCCTCAAAGCCTCAAACATTTGACAGATACAGTGTCGTTTTAACTGGGCCATGCTTTGATTTAATAACGTGGCTACAATTTGACCTAATTGACTAATAATTCAATGTACATATTAATAACTACAATATATTGTAACGATTGTCAAGATGTGCTCGAAGAAGCTAATTAGATTAATATTGATTTATTAATATTAATAATTGACATGAAAATAATGGACTCAATGAAACGTAAAATATCTTGTATCAGGTATCGGAGCAGATGAGCGCCAGTGTTGCCACCTTGGTGGTTTTTACACCAGAACTGGTGCTTTTTCACGGCTTCTAGTGGTATATTTTCATTATCTAGCGGGTAAATTTTTTTAGTGTTTTTTAGTGGTTTTTTTAACATGAAATCTAGCAACATATTTTTAAAGGGGGAAATGCTCTAACTTTCCGAAATTTCATAATGTTCTATGTGATTACTCACAGTTATTTCTGTAGCATCTTATACATATTCACTGGTCTTTTATTTAAATTAGGGGTTTTTGTTATCAGAGATGTAATTGTAATTAAGCGGATTTTGGTGTATTTTATTAAAACCAAATTTTTGAAATCCGGCGATTATTTACCTTTTACTTAAAAAAATCCAAGGTGGCAACACTGATGAGCGCGCTGTTGAGTTCCATATTCGGCCAGATATTAATGGCCGCCCTCGATTCGTGATTACAGTTAATAGGCGCTTATTTCATCATAATTTTCACGTAATTCACAATCAATATTATTCCCTATATTTTCATGTCTAAAACTCTAACTTAACTATGTTTTCTCTTCTTCAATATTAAATAAACACATTCATTTTATTCAAACGTTAATTGTCTCACTTATACTCCCATGCTATTCATTACATTTTACACTTAGCAATTCGACCGATTGAATATAATAAAAATGTTTATAATGCCTAACAGGTATCGTAAGGAGCTTTCTTTATGTTAGG